TCACCTCAGCCTCCCAAAGGCGCGGGATTACAGGCTGAGCCACCGAGCCCGGCTCTCCTCGGACTTTGATGACAAGAATATTAGGTCTGTTGTTAGTTCCGCATGACCCAGAGATGCTTCGGTTTTTCCCCCCAATCTGTTTTCTCTGTTTTGTTTTAATTGGGTAATTTCTACTTTTTTTTTATTTTTTTTTTTTTGAGTTGGAGTCTCACTCTGTCGCCCAGACTGGAGTGCAGTGGCCGCTCCCGGCCACCGCAGCCTCGACCTGCTGGGCTCGGGCGATCCTTCCGCCTCAGCCTTCTGAGTAGCTGGAATTACAGGCATGCGCTGCCATGCCCGGCTGATTTTTTGATTTATTGTAGAGATGAGGTCTCGCTGCCTAGGCGGGTCTCGAACCCGCGGGCTCAGGCAATCCACTCACCTCGGCCTCCCAAAGGCGTGGGATTACAGGCTGAGCCACCGAGCCCGGCTTTAATTTCTACTTTTTATATTCATGTTCACTGATTCTTTGTCATCTCTATTCTATTAATTTGATTATATATATATTTTTTGTTCTAACATTTTAAATTGGTTATTCTTTATATCTTGATATATAAAAATTTGAATATATATCTGTATTCTTTCTTTCTTTATTTTTTGAGTTGGAGTCTCACTCTGTCGCCCAGGCTGGAGGGCAATGGCATGCCCCCGGCTACCGCAGCCTCGACTTGCTAGACTCTGGTGATCCTTCCGCCTCAGCTTCCGAGTAGCCAGAATTACAAGCACGCGCTACCACGCCCGGCTAATTTTTTGATTTATTGTAGAGGTGAAGTCTCGCCAAGTTGCCTAGGTGGGTTTCGAACCCGCGGGCTCAGGCAATCCACTCACCTCAGCCTCCCAAAGGCACGGGATTACAGGCTGAGCCACCGAGCCCGGCTGATGAATGGTTTTTTTAATCAAAACTGGGCATTTTAAGTACTAGAAGACTCTGACTTTGACTTAAATCTTGTATTGTAGCAGATCTCCTCCTAGGAGCTGCTTTATTACAGCTAGGTGGAGTGAGATTCCAGGCTCTCCTCTGGGCCTCAGTGGACACCAAGCAGCTAGATTTCTTGTCACTGCCAGGGTGAGGGACTGGGAGTGTAGATGGTCCCTAGGTTGCTGGGAGTGTCTGGGAAGGGAAGGGGCTCCTCACCTCTTCCCTGCTAGCCTCCACGGATACCACAGCTCCCACTGGGTGTTCCTGAAAGTGCTCATTCTCCATGAGGCCTCTGCTGATCCCATCTCAGTGGGGTTTCTCGCTTCTGCTGGGAGGAAGTGGGGGTTCTAGCTCCCCATATGGGCTCCATTGTCACTGTGGAATGGGGTTGGGGTTTCTTGTTTCTGCCTGGCAGGGATGACGTTCTCAGCCCCTCACTCAGCCTTCTCTGTCCGTACTCTGAGGGTCAGATGCCTTGTGACACCTTCAGGCTCTTCACACACTTGGCCTTTGCTGGTGGGAGTGCGGGTGGGGCTACAGGTTTTTCTGGAGTGCTGGCCTAGCTTAGAGAGGTGACTGTGTGAAAATGTTCTCTTTCTAGGTTGCCTCTTTCCTTGTCAGGCTCTTTGGTAGAGAGTAGGCGCTTCTCAGGGCCTGTTTTTCCTGCGCTTGTTGGCATTTCTGGGTTATCAGCATCTCTGTTTTCCGATCATGGAGGCACGAAGCAAAAAGGGACCCGGGGATTCCCTGTGTGTCCTCTCTCAGGTCCTGAAGTCCCTAGCCAGGCTGCCTCGTCTCCACCGTTCAGTCTCCTGGTGTTTGTTTAGTGTGTAACGTCCAGGGATTTTAGTTGTGCTTGGGAGGAGGAACAGGGAAAGGATGTCTCCTCTGTCTTCCAGAAGCAGGAGTCTAGTCTCCTGCTTTTGTAGGGTTCCAGGCTGAGACCGGCACACACGGTTTCCTGGCCACCGCTCCTGTCTCCCTGTGTCAGAACGCTTGTCACGCGACGTCACTGATTGTGTCTGTAAGCGTCTGCTCCGCTCGCACTGTGGACATGTAAGGAGGGCTGGCCTTTGGTCTCGGAATTCTTAGCACACGGTGAGTCAGGCACTCAGTTGGTGGCGGCAGGTCACCACCTGCTTCTGGCAGCGCCTTTCGTCGGGATGTGCTGCCACAGGACTGTCGGGCACCTGTCCAGGCACACACATCGGCACACTCGTGCTCTCTGCTCTTCCTGGAATCGCCACAGCTGACTGAGGAGGGTTTCTGGACTGGCTGCCCTGGAGAACTCTGGTTTTAGAGGATTCTCATTTCCACTCGGTCCAGCCTGGTCCAACCTAATCACTTTACTCGGAAGCAGAGTAGGCCTGGGTAGTGCTTGGAAGGCCCATGGGCAGCACCACTGACGTAAAGTCCAAGCCTCTGCTTGGCCAGTTCTCTTCTCTGTTGCTTTTGATCACCTTCTTCCTGCAGCCTCAAAGTGGACTCCAATTGTAAGTTTACGTTGTTTTGTTTTTAAGTGCTCTTAGGACAAAAAAGGGACATAGCCACGCTGTCATTTCTTTTGACTATTAGATTTTTTCGATTGTAACTTGGAGACTCAGTTTTAATATGTTATCGGGGTTTCAAAATGGTATTTTCTAACGAGCCCATTTCTTTCCAGCAGGCATATGGCTATGGTCCATACAGTGGCGCGTACCCGCCGGGAACTCAAGTCGTGTATGCTGCCAACGGGCAGGCCTACGCTATGCCCTACCAGTACCCATATGCAGGTAATTTGCCAGCCTTCCATTCTCGGTCCTCGTCATATACCAGACAGGCTGATAAGGGCTGTAAGGATGTGTATTTTTCAGTTTAAGGTTAAGTGAGCTTTGTTTTCTGGATATAGACCACAAATCACTGTACTACTATGCTTAAGCACTGTAAGCCTTTTCTATTTTCACACTTTTACAAAGCTAGAGTAGCCTTGATTTTTAGAGCCGTGCTCTTGTGTCCAGATTAATTCCCAGGAAAAGAATTAAGCAACCAAAGTAAGAGGCCTATTTTAAGAGATGGGAGGTGACCTTTCACCTGTATTTGCTTTGGTAACGTTCTTAGAAAGTTGTCACTGCTGGGGTAATGCTCTGTCTCACAGTGGAGTAGAGGCTGCAAGACTTATGTTTATTCTGGATTTTGGCTGTATTCTGTTCTTCTTTTGCCTCATGAAACGAATGGTAGGTGTGAGTAACTGGGCCTGTTCTGGCATTGTGTCCTGGGTCTCCTGGAGGTGTGAGAGGACACTGACCACTGCCTGGGGCCGTGTAATGTTGGGAGGGCAGAGCTGTGGCCCGTGGCCGATGAGGTTGGGCAGGACAGGTGCCGTGGGCACAGCACCCTGTTTGCAGGAGGACACCCTGGGGGGGTGGGCTAGAGCTCAGGAGAGACAGGGAATGTGGGGTCTGCAGGAAGAGGAGGTGTCCCGGGTCATGAGAAAACTAGCAGTGTCTCGGCACAGTGGCAGTGGGAGGAAGCTGCTGCCGGAAGGAGGTGGTCACTGGCAGTGGGCCCGGAGAAGCCAGGAGGGTCCCAAGGTCACACTCTTCGGCGGTGTTCTTGTGGCTACTCGTGGTCACTTTGGCTCCTAAGATGGGTTCTGGAGGGGACGTAGAGAAAGCTCATCTGTTCTTGGACTCTGATGCAGATTCACCCAGCTTTGCTTGACCTTTTTTTGTGTCAGGGTGAAAACCACTGAAATAATAGTAAATGATATGACAGATGATATACTTGTGCATCATCCTGTGATCCTAGCACACATATTTTTGTTCTAATTACAGTAAGTCCTCAACGTTGTTCTTGGAAACTGCTACTTTAAGTGAGATAATGTGTAGCAAAATCGATTTAACCATAGGCTAATTTATATAAATGAGTTATATTTATACGGCATACTTCTAGTCATGAAAACATCACCAAACTTCCTTTTTTTTTTTTTTGAGTTGGAGT